ACCCATTATGATAAATAAGAAAAAACTATGGCTCTTCTAGATGTACGACGGATTCATCGAACAAAAAGACCAAACAAATTCCAATATAATGCCAACTCCGTTGGTGTCTTGAGGGTCAAGATTTACTACCCAGAACTTCAGAGGAAGTAAGAAGCATGGGAAGTTTAAAATAAAATTCAACACTTGAGATTACGGATGTGATTTGGAAAAGAAATCACCCGTACCTGGGAGGAGCAGCATTCTCGACTTTCTTTGATGCAATACGACCTTTTGGGGCTGAAGATAACTGTAGAAAGGATTAGACACTTCGATGTTAGGAAGCGAGGAACACCCCCCCCCCTCCCCCCCCCCCACTGCCTGCAATAATAAAAAGAAAATGCCTTTGCACTGTTGTCTTGATAAAACAACTAACCTGAGAAGCAATGTCCACACCGATCTCATCAAGCACCTGTGCAAATGATACAAAGATCAAATCATACAAACACAATGAAATTGTTTCAGTAATTTTTAAAATTAAATATGTAAAATAATTCAAGCCTTGAATAACGCACCTGGTTTGTAAGCTCTTCAGTTTCTTCCTCAGCTTCATCTTTATCTAAGGTTTCGTCTATAGACTCTGACATCATCTCAATCTGGGAAGAACCAAAACCAACCATCAGAAGCATCATTGAGAGATGAGGTTGTGGAAAAGGTGTACTGAAATGTTATAATGAAACGATGATTTTGGTTGGAATACCGTCATGTCCAACTGTGCAGACTCTTGCTGGAATTGTCTGATCACTTTGGCTTGCTTTGTGGGCGCCATTTGCTTGATGAGAGTGAAAAAAAGAAAACATGAAGAAAAAGGATGTATAAATCAACCAATTTGATAGAAGTCAAGGAACGACTTTGATTTGAAAATCTTTTGGCTAAATTTACCTTGTTCATGGCTGACATTGCTTTAGTTGCACCTTTCATTCCAGTTGATAAAGATGTGCTAGCATATAGCGCCTGCCAATGCAGAAATTAAATGTACATTAGTTCAGGATTTCATATAGTACATAATTTCTAGCTAGAACCAAAGGTCATTGTAGAATAGAGAGTGCCCACCTGCGTGTGAGTTGCTACACCTCTGATCTGAGCGCGACTCCCCTGTAAAGTTACTATTTGTTGCCTCAGCCGAACCAGTTGGCGAGCTAAAATTTTAGTGGCAGCCTGACCATAACATTAATATAAAAAAAGAAGAAGAAATGTTTCATGTTTTCTATTAATTAAGAGAGTACATGAAAAAGGAGTTCAACTCATTGCTACTTTGTTTGCACCAACATAAGAATCCATTTGGAACATGGAAAATGCTTAGTAGATAAAATAGGGACGAAAATAAAGTAGAGAGGTAACTTAGAAGGAAATATTTGGGAGGGGGAGGGGGTTCAAACTTAGTAGATAAATTTTTGATATTAGTTCAAACCCATCATGGGTCATCTGGAAACAGCCACTCTATGTTTTACACATAGGGGTCAGACCGCGTACATCCGACCTCCCCTTACCCTGCAATGGGCGAGAGCCATTGAGGCACTGGGGTAATGTTGTTCAAACCCATCACACACACATAAGGGTAAAAAAATTTATAAGTTTGTCAATTTAACAAAAAAAAAAGTTGAAACAAAAAAGTTTCTTTTTTTCTTCATATTTCCATTTCAATACCATTTTCCACATTCCAAGCAAAGCCAGAAGGTTGAAGCAAGAAACAACAAAAAGCAGTATTATACCAATATACCATAATAGCATAAAGATATACCCCTGTCATCTGTAAGTAGTTGTCTTGCTTCTAAAAAATCTCATTTTTGGAAATGCGTTTAAAATGTCAAATAAGCCATTGAAATGAGTTTGTCAATCATTCATGTGAATAATACTCATACCCTCCTTATATATCTAAGATTTGTTAGACAATTCATCATATTTTCTTTATTGAATATGGAAAGTGGAAAACTAATTCCAGACAAACGAAAAAGAGTGGACAACTACATCCAGACAGAGGGAGTATATAATAAACCATGCAGTCTATCACTGTCCTTAGTTCCAAACCATGAAAAGGCTGAATCAAGTTTTTAATTGAAAGAAAATAGTAGTAAAAGGTAACAATATGATCCTTCTTCCCAAGGTTTGGCACGAGCTCTTGCTGTCCATTTGCAATATGGTTCTTCATCCGGTCCCAAAAGCATTAGGCAAATTGTAAAGAATGAAAGAAAACTTGCCTCATTCCCAGTTTTAGCTGTTTTCTTTATCTCTGCAACTAATTTCTTCTCCTGTGAATATACATATTAATGGGTAAGTATATTATACAGATGGATGGAAGCATCAAGCAAGTATTTTCTTAACCAAGAATACTAATGAATAACATGTACTCCTTCCATCCCATAAAAAGAGTCCTGCTTTACAAATGTTCCAACTTCTAAATTTTAGTAAGATGCAGTTGTGCACTATTGAATAGAATCAAATATTGCTATATATATATATATATATACATACATACATACATACATACATACACACACACACACACTTTTATTGGTTGTTTTTACTAAATGTTGACGCACTCCACTTGTTTGGGACACTTTCTTTAAATGAATATTTAATATGATGAAAATTAGCTTCTTTTGTTCAAATAGAACTCTTTGTTGGGACAAAAATAAGTCTACAAAGAAGACTCTTTTTCTTTTGGCACGGAGGGATTAGTTAATTTCTTATAGTTCTGATTCAAAAATGGTGCTAGAAAGCCACAACTTACTTCCATTTCTAAAGAGGCAATTTGACGTTCAATGCCTACAACAAAGTGAGAGTATGTTAGGACAGTTAAAAAACAAACATGAGCTATTTTGAATCAAAGACAGCCATAAATGAAAATTATTGAAATAGATAGAGAGGCAAATTTGTGAACTGTGCTTGTAGGTGTGAGTACAATATATATGAATTGATATAAGAGTTTGCCATCCTTCTAACCCAAATTACAATCTTTCTAAAAAAGTAATATGCTATATAATTTTTTATTTTAATATTGTTTGGTCCGGTTCAATTTCTCAAATTTACTAAATAATTCCAATATTGGCAGTTATGATCTTCACACATTTCTTAAAGGATCAAAATCTTTGGAGCTTTGCTGAGCATTATGTTGGATATACAGGCAAGGAGCTGATGCAAACTCTCAACACAGAGATCAACTCGTGTTGGGACTTACGCAGATGAGTTAAAGTGTAACTTATACACTATCGGATATTATTTTTAATGCCAAAACAACAAAGGCATGGCGAGAGACAGAAGTGTATATTACAAAAAAGAATATAAATTACGAAAATTCAAATTGTAATTATTGGAAAGGTTGTGTGTGTGACCAATGTGAGATTACCTCAATCAACACGGTGATGTATTTTTTCAAATATTTTCAATAACTTGATATAATATAAAAAATTGTAAATGGTAATATAGTAGGAAAGTTCTTTGAAGCATGCTGATTGTTGAAGATGGATGATTAATGTGGTGGCTTCGATAACAAAAACAAATCAACTGGCATGAAACCGTTATCAATTTCAGATTTGAAGGATATGATAGAGAGTAATGCGGACATGATCGAAGCAACATCATCACCACCAACTGAAGAGATTTAGAAGTGTCTAGACAAGAAAAGTTTCTATATTATTGCTTTAGTAGTGCACAAGATTACCAAATGTATAAAAAAATAATTGTGGCAACCAAAACAAATATAGTTGGGAATCCCAGTGAATACTAATAATGAATATAAAACATTGTTTTAGGCTATTGATTGCTTACTTTATTTATGTTTGGTAGTTGGATGGAACTGTTCCATCAGAAATTACTTTGGTCTATAACTCAAAAGTACTCCAAAATAATTATCGGAAAAAGTAAATTTTGATTTAATCAAATGGTTGCTCATATGATATGATATTCAGTGTGTTTTATGATGAACTTCACCAAAAATTATATATATGAAAAGGTGCATCAAATTTGCATTGCCCAAGAGTTTCATGCCATTAAATTTGATGGTGTGTATACCCAGCTTATCTAACAACCTCACAGACTTGGCCTACTATGAATACAACATTAACTAACATGGTAAAAAATTATCCACAACATAGACAAACTTTAAAGCACATTCTTCCTAGCTTCCACAATGTACACATTTCCATTAAGCATTGAAGATTTTTGCTCATGGGAGCTGATCATAGCAAGCCCATGTAAAGATTTCCATAATCATTTTCCAAGGTGAAATGGCATCATTCGCTTTCAGTAAAGGACATGAAAGAACGTACAGATACGTCCTCCCCTACCAAAATCCATGTGAAAAAATCAGATATTCTACAAGCTTGAACACACGCCTATCTACAATTTTTCTTTTAAAGCCGAATTTAAAAAAAAACCCTAATCAGACTTTTTACTGAGTTTAGATGGGAAAGTTTCTTGAATAAATTCAGGAATTTACTCATTTCATTTCTGCTTGCTATCTTAATTCTTATTCGGGGTACAAAAAAAACACCAATTAATACTCCAACTGCAATAATCAGAATAGGCAAATGAAAAATCAAACAATTCCAATCATCAACCGGAGTACCTCGAGTAGCATTGTCCATTTCTCTTCTGCTGGTTCGTAGCGCATCTGCAGATAAATTCAACAGAAGGGGAAAATTGTCAATAGGAACTGAAGAAAATAATGAATAGAACGCAAACGACTGGTATACCTTTGGGTGGAGTTTTCTTCTTGAAGATGTTCATTTCAAGAACCCTAAAATTCAGTGATGATCGAACGGGATAAGGAAATTGGGGTTTCTCTGGGAAAGAAGAGTGGTCTGTTGTTTAGCTGAATGTGGCGAGGAAAGGGTTTTGGCTGCCTGATCCCAAGGCAGTGTTTAAAATGGGAGAGAGAGAATGTGTGCGTGGAATGGATCAGACCATCAGCTTCAGATTTAATCTAACGGCTAGAAAACACCGACCAAGTAACCGTTATAGGCACGTAGAGATACGTTGGCAAGGAAACGTCTCTTCAATCTCTCGACATCTATATTTGATGGGAAATGTTCACAAACTCAGACTTCACAAATTTTACAAATTTACCATTTGTAAACTTCAATAAAAAAAATTAAATAGTCTAAAATAATTTTAAATTGAGAATTTAAACCATAAATAGTACGTTTGTGAAGTTTGTGATCCTTCTGTTTGTGAACGTCTACCATTGCCCGTTGTTGATTGTAGGGAGGGTGGTAAATTCTAGTTTGAGTTCTAACAAGTGTTTTAATAAGTAACAATGTTAAGCATAAGGTCTTTGCAAATAAAAAGAATAGACTTTATTTACTGCCACCAATTTAAGATCAAAATCTAATTTATTCTCTCGGTGACTATTTGGACAGGTCTGAGAGCTCTCAAGGATTAGACTCATCCATTATATACTTCGTATTTTTAAGAGGATGATAGAGCCCCTAGTGTACCACTACCACCTCAAAACGTTATCAGTAAAATGATTTGGTACGATTTAGAGCTTATTCTCTTCTATTTATTCTTATTGTAATCAAATCAAATAAAAAGTAGTTTTAAATACAACTATAATCAAATAAGATCACATCTTATTCTAATCAGATCAGAATGAATCAAATTAGGTGAAGAGAGCAATCTCTTAGTTTTACTTCATTTGTCCCATTTTATAATACATGTTTCTATTTACAATATTTCACTAAAGTTATTTTTAATTTATTTTATTTAAGAAATGAACCATTGAGTGATAATGAAGTAATAAAGTTTATCAAATAATTTTTAACAATAATTAGCATTTTAGTAATCAGAATAATAAAATGTTAATGGCCTGTTTGAGGATAGTGTTAATCGAAAACGTTATTTCCAAACAGACCTTAAATTTATAATATTATAAATTTATACTCCCTCCGTCCTATATCTTTCTTCCCGTTGCGCAAAACGAAGAAAAATCCCAAGTCTTTTCAATCTATTTTATTTAAATATTGTTATAGAAATAAAAAATAAAACATAAATATTTAAAAACTACATTAAAAGTTCAACAAAACAAGTGGTGACAAGAATATTTTATTTTATCATATAGGCCATGAAAAAACACAAATAAATATAAATTCCCGTGAAATTGAAATAGTGCTCTGAGAAGAAAGTTTTAGGACGGAGGGAGTATTTACATATGAAATCAACAACTTCAATTTGGAAAAACTCCTGTAGATGCCACCATCAGAGTAATTGATAAAATCAACTAATTGCCTAATTGGAGTACTTGCTAACTTCTAAAAAGAAAAAAACTAAAAAACTCAACTGCCAATTGATAAAAAAAACTCGTTATGAAATTGATAAAATCAACTACAAATTTTTTAATTAGAGAAGCGAGTAGCATGCATACATAATTGCATAGTAGGCGAGAGCCTAGACGTTTGCAATAAATCGAGATACAAAAAATAGTCAATGACACTAAAACCACCAACAGTTTGTGTGATATTTATGTAGGACGGACATCACAGAAATAATATTTCTATTAGAACAAATAAAATGTATTTGAGCGTAAAAAGGTAGGCACAACCCGGACTTTCTACATATGGGATACGGGTTGGTTCCGTTGCCACTGGTTTTTTGGAGCGCCAGAGCACCTCCAATGGTGCTCTGTTTGCAAACTTGATGGTTCTTATCCCTCCTAAACCCCCACCACAGGCCTGCCCCCACAACCTCTAAAATTGTGGTCATAATGACCACATATTTGGAGGGGGCGGAAGGTGTGGCTGGAGGGGAGGGTTAGTGGCAATAGGAACTACTTGGTCCGTTCCTGAGTGTTTGTTCACTTTTGACTTTTGGAACTGTTCATCTAAGCACTTTGACTTATCAAATTCTCTCAATGTGTAAGCCTAAAAATAGTCATGTGTGATCTTGTTTGATTCGTCTTAACATATAGATTATTAATATATAATTTTTATAATTATTTAATATACAAATTACAAGATAAAATGAATTAAAGAAGTGCATTGGATAGTGTGCAAAAATGAAAGTGGACAAACACGCAGGGACGGAGGAAGTATTAATTTTGCGAATAGAACATCTGAGTTGCTCTAAAAAGCTGGTGGCAACGGAACCAAGGCGACATACATAAAGTGATAAAGGACCAGCAAGGGAAAATATTAGCCACATAACAGTAGAAAAAAGAGCAAAACAAGTTCTCATACTATAATAAAACATTAAAACCTCTAACAGCGGTTATAAAGAACACCAGAAAACCAAACAAGGTAATGTTACATACAAAATTTTACATTTTTACAAACAAGTAACAACCAAGATCATCCTGCATCTTTTGGACAATTCACACTCCTTGTTGGAAAAACGTATAATCCGAAACAGACTCTTGCTTTGTGATCTGCAAGAATGGGTACAACATTCAGAGAATGTATGCCATACACCCGGTTGTACGTAGAGTTAGGTACACCCGGCGAATATTGATTTTGAATCAACAGAATGTTTGTTTTCAACCGTAGTGTTCATTCTGAAACATTTTTTTAATTACAAGTTTGTCATGATGTACTAAGAGGAAGGTACATCCGGCTCTACCATATAAACTTGCCCAACATTCATCATGACACATAAATGAAAAACCATATCTTTTGTACTCCTTCATATATGAATATGAACAAACAACAACAACATTACCCCAGTGCCTCAAAGGCTCCCGCCCATTGCGGGGTAGGGGGGGTCGGATGTACGCAGCCTGACCTCTATGTTTAAAACATAGAGCGACTGTTTCCGGATCATAAATGTATACCACTTTCTTGAAAAAATATATGAGTGAGGGATGAACAAACCTCGGTGGCATGCGAAGATGATCCTGGAGGAAAAGCAGAAGGAACAAGAGGAGCCCAAAGAAGGGGGTCTGCCAAGGGATCTATACTACCACTGTAGTTGGTCAGTAGAGGAGCAGACAAGATGGGAGTGAGGGGATGCAAGTTTCCATTGATGTTCAATCCTCCACCACTTGTCCCACCAAATAAAGCCCCTAGCATATCCCTTCCTCCACCATCATGTACTGATGATGTTGATGATACCTCTAATGCCTTCTTCCCATGATAATCATCAGTTTGGCTTTCATTCTCTTCGTTCTCAACTTTTTCTTTCTTCTTTGACACCTTCTCTTGCAAACTCTTGTAAGCTGCAGACTGTGACAAAATGCTCATAATAGATGGTGCCGCGGTGGTGCCTTTCTGATTGTTTTTTCCTTTGTGTGACAAGCCCAAACGCGGCATCTCATAGGGTTCAGTTGGATGTACTGTCAACTCTGAAGCTTCATTGCCAGTGTCCTCAGAACAACCATGTTTTGATTCCACTAATGTATGAGCTTTGCTAGGTCCCCACCACTTGATATAGCTTGACAAATCAATTTTTTGGCCCATGCAAAAACCACCTACATATGCATTCCCCGCATTGACATCATCGCCTACACCAGACAAGATTTTAAAAACTTTCAAATGTTATGAATTTCTTCACCTTTGTACTATGCTTATTAGAGGAAGAAGCTATAGTCACCATGGGATTTGCTGCTTAAATAATCAGCTCCTTGTAAACGGCCAAATTTTGATTCCCAACGACTATTATGCAAGAAAGGGAACTTGATCAGATGCTTAGTGAAATGTGCACACATACACCGTAGGACACAGGGATGGACCAGATTATAAAGTTCACACTTTCCTTTTTTTGGACATGTCACAATAAGACCTCATTTTTCCTTATTGATATTTTATTCTTTTCATCTTTTTGAATAAATATCAATGAAAACTATTTACTTTTCTTAAAAAGCATGCCACTCCTAACTATGAACTTTGTTTTTGGACAGAGGGCGCATAAAAATTTAAGAGTATATTCTATAAATAGTCCTTTGTGACGGGGTTTTCCATATATAATCTCCAATTCTAAGATATTACATTTGTGGTCCTCTATATTTGAGAATCATTCCATAATCATTTTTTTGAACCCAAATATTATTTTCCATATATAGGACACAAAGGACTGATTTTGAAACAGTTCTCATATACCGAGGACTACAAATGTAATACCTTAGAATTGAGGATTATATATGGAAAACACCTTGTTATGAAGGACTATTTATGGAATTAACTCATTTTAAAAAGCCCACAAATGATCAAATAATTTTGAAAAAAAACATCCAGTACTCCAGTTAGCATTTATTCAACCTCTTCGTTTCAACTATCTTCAATCTTCTCACATAACTTTGCAGTGTAGGTACTCAAAAGTGTAAGTACATGACAGGCAGTAGAACGGTCCTAAGATTATCTGTATCCTCCCCTTCCCCCCACCCCAGCTCAACAAGTGTACATACTGAGATATCTGTGGTTTCCTCCATCAAGTACAAGAGTAGATACTAGATAGTTTCATGAGCAACTATACCTAGAGAGTGGACGATATTTAGATATTCCTCTGGAGAAACCACTGCTCTTTCTGCAAACAAGGGCAGTAAGTTTAGAACTTTCAAAAGTAAGAGCATATGCAAATAGCAGCAAACCTTCTAAGCGATGCAAGATATTCCTCCCTGGAAAGATTTTGCATCTCTTCAAGGTCCCTTGTATAGTCTTTTACCTGAAAGAATACAATAAGTACAGATTCATTCAATTACATGCTATAAATGCATCATATTATACCTATTATATAGAAGTTTTTGCAATACTTCCAATAGCATTTTTTACACCATTATGTTATGCGAAACTGAAATCCCAAATTCTCATGAGTCATAGAGGAGGTCTGAATGTGTGCATAGGGAAACTCTGATAAGTACATAGTTTATATGGAAAGTGTTAAATGCCACATCAAATATGTGGTTTGTACCTTTTACGTAAACCTAAACTATTGTAGAACGTGTTCCTTAAATAATTACGC